AGAATCTAATCCAAGTAACATATAAACTATGCTGTGTCATATATATATATATATATATATATATATATATATATATATATATATATATTCTATAACAGATATTTAAATAAGAGTTGACTCCAAGTGCCACATAATCAGGTTGTAAGTTTTTTAAACTTGTCAAGGTTTTTGTTAAAAATTTCAACCTGACTGTTTGTAATAGATTTTACTGATTTTTAAATCATATCCAAAGAATTTACAAATCTAGAGCTACAGAAAATGTAGGAAATAGTCTTAAAATCTTAACATAATTTTTACAATTTATTAATGTTTGAGGAACATAAGAATGGGAGTAGATTAGCACCTGGAATCCCTACTGGGGAAAGATTGCTTTTTATATATTTTAAACCACACAGTGTTCCTCCTGGGCTATTGCGTTTTGCTTTCCTTCTCACTGTCTTAGAGATTCAGGTGGCCAGCTTGACACAGAACAGATTCAAAAGAAACTTTTAAACAGCATGCTCAGGTATGGAGAGGCAGGGCTAAAATCCAACCCCAGAAGCACCTTATTTATTGAGTATAACAGAATAACACAGTTTTAATACTACCCACACTGCAAAGATATTTGAATCTTTTTAAAAACTACAGCCAGTGATCAGACGAAGGGAATAGAGCATGCAGAAAACAAAGAAGGTTCCAAGAGAACAGGAGCATGGATCAAAGTAAAAGGGAGATAAAAGAGTTTTTTGAGAGTGGAGAGCAGAAAGAGTTTAAAAATAAGTGACTTTGGGATTATGTGCTTGTGATACAGCAGAAATCATTACAATCTATGATCATTTGATAATCCAGTGTCCATCTTTAGCCACTGAGCTGTCCTGGGGCCAAGCCATTTGCAATAAGACAATTAGGATCAATGGAATCTCTAAGTCAGGGGAAGGAAAAGAGATTGAAGAAGGCACATGAAGCCTATGAAGAGCAAGCTCCCGGAGTAATCAAAGAACTTGTTTTAAGAGACAGCAAGGATGAGAGAGAAATGGGTAGATACCTAGTATCCCCAAGAAGACAGAGAGATATGTCAGAGGAAATGTCCCAAATCAAAAAGAGCACCAACACTTTCCATTTGATGGGTGTCCAGTAGGGTGAGAAAGGCTGCTTGGTACATGGGCCAAAAACACTGTAGATAATACATTCACACATCAACAATCAGTGGCTTAAAGACTATATCTCAAATATTCTCAACTGATCCAAAACCAGAGAAATTGAGATAGCAGGAAATAGAGGTCCCAATGTCTAATAAGCAAACATTGATTTAACTATTGATAAAGCAAACAACCCAGTTTAAAACACATGTAACTAAACTGAGAATTCGGAAAAGATAACATAAAAATGGCTGAGAAAGATTATAAAGATGTTCAATGTCCTTATCAATCAGTGAAATACAACTTAAAACTTCACTGCGATATCATCGTATAAAAGAACATAAACTCCAGCAAATGCTGGAATATATGTGAGTCAAGAGGATTACAAACTGCTGTAGGCCCTATGGAAATTAGTGTGGAGATACACTAAATTTGTGGAATGATAACAATATTATCCTCTAAGTCTATTAATCATAGGCATCTACCTAACAGACTGTATATCCTACCATAGAAATTTCTTGATTATTCATTTTTAGTGTTGGTTTATTCACAATAGTCAACATGGTAACAGCCTAGATGTCTATCAAGAAATGGATGATATTGAACCTGTGGAACATATTCAATATTTAATTTTATTCAGCTGAAAACACAAATAGAATTATGAAATTTACATGCAATGGGATGAAGCTGGGATTATCATTCTGAATGAGGTAATCCAGACACAATAAGAAAAAACCAAAATCTTTCTGTCATATGCAGATGCTAGATTTGAATTTTCTGGTATCTCTACTTAACTAGAGTAATGATATAAATCATGAAACTATTAACATGTAATGGATAGGAGATGTCGCTAGGAGGAGAATAGAACCCATGTGGTGTGAAGAGAAGAATGGAAATGCTGGAGCAAAAAGAGTTAGGCAGCAAGTTATTGGTGAACAGGAGAGGGAGTATGTGAAGGAAATACCTAACTTTAGACCTTGGACAAAACATAATGGAAATGCATTGCTAAAGATGCTTCATAAATACATACATACAAAGCACTTAAATTGGTTATTTTACAGTTGGGGGATAATGCCTCTTCAAAATATGTCTCATTGAGCAAAAATCTCAGTTCTAGGTACAAGTTACTTGTTTTAAGTTGTTTGTTAATGCTCTTGATATAAAGTCAAATGTTAATTCAAAGGTG